ATTTTCTTTAAACCAATTGGTCTTAATTGATAACCATGAGGCATTCGATTAATAAAATTAATATCAAATTGATTAGAGTTTCTTTGTTTTCCATGTTAAGCTTTAGTTCATTTTACGTCCACATTGCTAATGTTTAAGGCGCTTAGGATGAAAACTTCTGTAATTTGAACTTTGACTCGCAATTGAAGCAATCTGATAATTTAATTTTAAGGAGGCATGCATGCTCCCAAAAATTTGCTATTTTTAATTCTACTCTCTGACGTTGGTACTCACGATCAATTGATCGGGTCAAACAAAATTGAGCCATATATATATATATATATTTTTTAATTCAGTAGATTGTTATGATGTATATTTTCTTTAATCCAACTGGTCTTAATTGATAACTACGAGGCATTGGATTAATAAAATTAATATCAAATTGGTTAGAGTTTCTTTGTTTTCCATGTTAAACTTTAGTTCATTTTACGTCTACGTTGCTAATGGTTATGGCGGTTATTATGAAAATTTGTGTAATTGGAACCTTGACGCAAGTGAAGCAATCTGATAATTTAATTTTAAGGAGGCATGCATGCGCCTGAAAATTTGCTATTTTCAATTTTACTCTCTGACATTGGTATTCATGATCAGTTGATCAGGTCAAGGTAAAAAAAATTGAGCCAGATTTTTATTTTTTTTAATTTTTTAATTCATTAGATTGCATACATTGCATCGCTTCCATTTTGTATCTTATTGTATAATATTTACTCCTTAGCTATAAGGATCCTGGACCACTTCATCTTGCACAGTCACTACAATGAATAATGCCACTAGCAACAAAATTTTCTATACTTGATGACCAAATTTCTGTGGGTCTAAGTCATTCATGGAACGAAAATTTCAGTTGAAAATCAGTCATAAAAAGACCGACTCGGTAAAACTTACTTGTCAAAAACCAGTTGGTGATTTTCTTTAAACCTTAAGAGAAACTATATTTTGGGGAATGTTATATTTCAATTCTTGTTCCTCCCTAATCATAGAGTGCAATTATCCTGTTAACCACGGATTAACCTATTATTGGGCACTTTGTGTGGAATTATTTCTCTACTGGGCATTGATACATGTTTAGGGCATTTGTGTTATATAAAGGATCTATTAGAGGATACTTTTGTATGCCAGAGAAGTATGAGAAACTTATTTTTCTTGAAAACCTGCAGCGGAGAATGAACCTCTATAAATGTGTGTACTTTGCTTGTTTACTGATCATTGGTTTCTGTTATTATTGCTCTCCTACATAGGGGTTTGGGCTTAGTCCCATGACAGTAGGGAGGGTCGGGTCGGGTTGGGTCAGAGCTATGTCCGTTTTACTGTTTTCACTTATATATCTACTAACGAGGCTATCATTTTGGACTATTTTCTTCATTGTTATCAATATGGAATGGAAGCTAAGAGCTAAAGCAATGATCTGACCATTCTCTTTTTTGTTTTTGCAGCAAAACCTAAATGTCTTCCAGGCCTTAATTTTGTTAAAATATTAGACGGTAAAGTGCTTAAATGTTTATTACAGTTACTTCCTTCTACCTCTGAACGTAAGCTGCCATGTTACTGTCTTACTGAAAGAGAAATTTTACTCGTACTTGTGCAGAAGATGAAGAGGCATTTGATGTCTTATACTGCATTGCATTTGCAATGTTGGATGCTCAGTGGCTTGCCATGCGTGCTTCATATATGGAGTTCAATGTACTCTCTCTCTCTCTCTCTCTCTCTCTCTCCCTCTCTCTCTCTCTCCCTCTCCCTCTCTCTCGTGTGTATGTGTGTGTGATGTGCATGTCTATCTCTCTGCCTCTCGCACAAACATGTAAATTATGATAAATTTTGTTGCTTGAAGATAGTTTTGGTGATGAATTGCTTGCTAAAAGGTTTACCAACTGAGAGATATTTTCTTTGTCAAGGAAATAAACTATAAATTTTCATTGCTGGGAAGTTTACTTGTATTTCAACTCAACAATTAATTATTTTACTCAAGTAGGTTCAGAAATTGGACATGCTCTAAAAGGAAATCAGTTACTGTATGAGAGTCGGCCACTCTTGATATGCCTATGCGTTGTGTATGAGATGTTAATAATCGGCTTTTTTCGTCTCATTTGTTCAGGAGGTTCTACAAATAACAAGGACACAATTAGAGAGGGAACTGTCTTTAGAAGATGTTCACAGAATGCAGGACCTCCCAGCTTACAACCTGTTGTATCAATAGTTTCAATTAGTCCAAACTTTAGAAGCAGTAAAATGTTTCTATGTAAATTTTTTGTACTTGCACATTTTTGCAGTTAATATGAAATCATGATTCAAGAGTATGTTATCTTGAGACTAATTTAATAGAATGCATGTAGGTTTCTCATTCTTTATATTTATTACAAATCTGCTATAAATAAGGTCCACATGTTTTTACTTGTACATAATCTTGAGACAACAAAATGGTTCATTTGGCTCTATCAACTCTGTCGATTTGTTTGTTGTTTTACGATGCCAACTGTAAAGAAGTTGGTATCAAGTAGGGATAGCAAAAAAACATGTTCAACCCAATATTCGCAGGCCACGTCTCATTACCAGCCTAACCGGGTAAATGGGATGAGGGTCATTATCCCAAAGCGGGCTGTAACAGTTTTGTATAAAGTTAATTTCAAAATTTAAATTTTTTTATCAAACAAAAATAAAAGATTCATCATCATTTTCAAAGAGAACATGTGTTATTCTTAACAAATTGGGAAAAAAGTGATAATATTTTACTAAGACATAAAAAATAAGAACAAAAAATAAAATAAAGAAATAAACTGCACGATAAATGGGATAGGTCCCTTGCGCTAATCCTGTCTCGTCTTACTTTAATCCAGTATGGGGGCGGGACAAGGTGACAAAAATATCTCATCCCCTGTCCCATTTTACCTCTACACCGATCGCATATCATCCCACTTTAATCGGGTATGAGGACAAGATAAGATAACAAAAATAGTTGACGGAATATGGGTGAGTAATCTACCCGTCCAATACTCTTTCCATTACCATCCCTAGTATCAAGTTGGGTTCAACATAAATGTGCAGTGTAGCTGCAAAATTAGGGGTCCTATGAAATCGCCATCAATTTTAAGTTAATTTTAGTAACGATGGTTAACAACATGAATAATATTGAAAATAAATAAAAGGGAAGATATCTGTTGATATAAAATTAAAATTGAGTTATCCAATTGAAATATTATCAAACGTTCAGTGACCAAAATTGAAATTATTCCCATTGTAGAAGGATAACGATGCAATAAATGTCTTCCCCGCGTTTGCTTTCCCCAAAATCTGCACCCTTCTCCGTAAAGTAGTTAGGATTACATCTATTAGCCACAAAAAATTAATTGAACGGGAGCATGTTTGGCTATGCTTAAAAAAGTGAGTTTTTCTAGTTTCTATACGTGTGGATAAGAGCTATTTACCTTAATATCCAAAAAATAACTTAATTAATTCTGATTCTGATGGATAAAGTAATTATTTCTACCTAGTCATTTTTTATTTTTATTTTTGGTTGCCAAAAATTCTTGACTCCCAACAATTATTTGTAAAATAAGTTCATTTAGTTATGCAAAACGACTACAATGCAATGCCTTTTAGGCAAAGTTGTTATGAAATACTAGAATAACTAAATGGTAATTACATTGGCATCATAACTTTTATTAATTGTTTAACTTCTATTTATCCCTCATATTTTTTAATTAGCAAAAAATATATATAAAAGTGCGGCACAATATTTTGCTCATCAGTTCAAAGCATATGTCATTAAAATATCTGGACAGAAAACATTCTCAGAGATAATATATGATAGGAGTTCAACGAAAAATGCGAAGATTTAGGTGTGACGTTAAGAAAAGATTGAAAACTTTTAATTTGATGAGACTCATTAGATGTTCGAAATTCATAGAAAGAGAAACAAAAAGTTTATATCTTGTTAACGTCATTTCATTTGACAAAAATAATTGGATAGTTTGAAAGTCGCGAAAAAATTTTAAAAAAAAGGGAGAATTTAAGAATACATTTGAAGAGGGAAATGGAATATTTACCAACATATGAGACCTTTTTTCTTTTTCTTTTTCTTTTTTAAATTATTTAAACTTACTTATTTACTTATAAGTAAACTTTTTGAGCTTAGCCAAACAAGCTCCAATTATCTCTCTCACACACACAGAAAACGAAACTCGAAGTCAACGTGTCCCTGACCCGTGCCACCACATTTACCGTCTCAACACAAGCAATCATTTATGCCAATTCCTTCTCCATTTATCTATTAGTTGATATTTCGCATACAAACAATAACTGTGATGTGATTTGCCATTAAATCCTAATCTTAAAAATCATCCTTTACATTATTTGTACCAGTTTTCTTGATGCGCGTTTCGTGCGTTGTTCTTGTCGGTTGATCCATTGCCTTGTCGTGGAAGCAGTTCTTCTGCATTTTTTCGTCCTGTTTAATGAAGTTCGGCGGTTCTCACTTTCCTTTTCATTCCTCGAATTCGGTTGATGATCAAATACAATTATTATTCTTTTCCGCAGGTATCAATTTTTCTGATTTTTTTTCTTGATTCATTTTTTCGTATGAGAATTAGTGAATGATTCATTTGATGGAACAGTTTTGGTTGGTGTTAAATCGAGAGAGAAGCGAGGATTAAACTGCACCGTTACCATTGATGGGGAACGATGACAATGGCCGTTGTGTATTTCCTTTGACAAGTTTACAAATTGGGTAAATTACACTGTCTATTTCTTTTTCTCTATTGCCCAGGCATAGTTGTTTATTATATGTGTTATTTTGATGTATGAATGAATGGGAATTATTTGATTGCTACATGAAATTTATGTTAACGCCAGCTTACAATTACTATGATATTACCAGTTTCTGTATATGCTATGCAAAAACTATGATTTCTGATTAAATGATCTTATAAGGCAGTTCTTGGCTGTATTTTGTTAGATTGAAGGTGAACGATGAATTAGTAATTCTAGTTTAAATATTTCCAAACAGAGCCAGTTTATCAGCAATCAATAACTTATTAGTTATTACACAGTTGGGAATTAACAAAATTTGTTTCATTTCTTTAACTCCCCTGGAAATGGAGTCTCCTTGCGAAAATGTAATTTTGAGACTCTGTGACAGTTTGATTCAATCTTTGCCTGCCTCACGTAATTGGATGTTGGATTTGGTACTGCAACTAGAAGATCTCATATTCCCTTCCTCCTTGCTCCTCCTTTCTCTCTCTCATGTTACTAATAAGGTAGTTTAACATTGCTTCTCTCCCTCTTTGTCCCATTAAAAATCAGATGAATTTGAAGTCTCTTTTTATGAAATTACATAGCTGAACATCATATAGTTTAGTGAATCAATGAAACTAAATGATCAATGTAGCTATGTATGTTACCTATATTAACTGCATGAAGAAATAGGAAATCTCAAAAGAGTATTGTTCTTTCCTCCTTTCTGCTGGACAGTCCATATCTCAATTTTGTACCAAGTACAAGTTTTTCAGTTAGTTATGACTTCGCCCTGCCTCTTAGTGAACATAGCATAAAAATAGAGATGCAGGCAGGATGTGTGTTCTAGGCTCATCACCTTTTTAAGTTCCAATTAGCAACGATCAAGATCTTATGGTCCTGTTATGTGTCTTCTTGTTTTCAAGATCATAATCTCCTGTGTCCTCTTTATCTTTTTGGTGGGTAACTGCTGTTCTTTCGGAGGAAACTTTGTACAAGAGTTCTCCACAATTCTTCTTGTCAAAAATTCTTCTTGGCTGTATTTTGTTAGATTGAAGGTGAACAATGAATTAGTAATTCTAGTTTAAATATTTCCAAACGGAGCCAGTTTATCAGTAATCAATAACTTATTAGTTATTACACAGTAACCGAGGGAATTAACAAAATTTGTTTTATTTCTTTAACTCCCCTGGAAAATGGAGTCTCCTTGCGAAAATGTAATTTTGAGACTGTGACAGTTCGATTCAATACTTGCCTGCCTCACGTAATTGGATGTTGGATTTGGTACTGCAACTAGAAGATCTCATATTCCCTTCCTCCTTGCTCCTCCTTTCTCTCTCTCATGTTACTAATAAGGTAGTTTAACATTGCTTCTCTCCCTCTTTGTCCCATTAAAAATCAGACGAATTTTAAGTCTCTTTTTATGAAATTACATAACCGGACATCATATAGTCTAGTGAATCAACGAAACTAAATGGTTATTGTAGTTATATATGTTACCTACATCAACTGCATAAAAAAATAGGAAATCTCAAAAGAGTATTGTTCTTTCCTCCTTTCTGCTGGACAGTCCATATCTCAATTTTGTACCAAGTACAAGTTTTTCAGTTAGTTATGACTTCGCCCTGCCTCTTAGTGAACATAGCATAAAAATAGAGATGCAGGCAGGATGTGTGTTCTAGGCTCATCACCTTTTTAAGTTCCAATTAGCAACGATCAAGATCTTATGGTCCTGTTATGTGTCTTCTTGTTTTCAAGATCATAATCTCCTGTGTCCTCTTTATCTTTTTGATGGGTAACTGCTGTTGTTTCCGAGGAAACTTTGCATGAGAGTTCTCCGCAATTCTTCTTGTCAAAAATTTATGACTCCCTTTATGGTTGCTTTCCAGATTTATCTTTATTAGAAATACAATGGTTCATTACCATCAGGTTAAAAAATAAAATTTATCTATGTTATTTACTAGTCAAGTCTGGTCTAAAATATCCTGCCAATACAAATGGGAGGATTCAAATGTGGATGAAGAGATTGATTATTGAACAGTGTTAGATGGTGCATGGGAGATTCCAGGAGTAGTGGGTCTTTGGTGGGAACGTGAAATATTTGTCTACTGAAGTTATCATCACTTGGATAAGCATATTTAAGTGTATAAATCGTGGATGCTGTTCAACATCTAAACTTTGGTCCAAATTTTTGCTGAACTGGAGGTGGATAAAACAGAGCACAAGGAGGCTACAGATGTTTGATTCATTTAAACTATTTTTGCTAGCATCAAATTGGACCTCTCATCTGATTACATATTCCCATCTGCAGTTTTTTTTTTTTTTTTGTGGAGGATGAAATATCCATTCCCTCGTGCTTTTGCTTATGCCTAAACGGATTCCATAATGAATGGAATTGTTAATTTGAACCTTTTTTGTATCTTTTGGTGTTCGACTTGTATTTAGATGTCAAATCTTTCTTTGCTTTGGACTTGGAATAAATGGTTTTTATATTTTTACGTTTTTAATGTGATTATCAAGCTTATTGCAACATGTCTTACAGGGATTTGCAGTCCTACCTTTCACATCTTAATCTATATCTGGCCACTGAAAGTAGAAAACTCTATATCTTGGTGGACAACAGGCCATGGTTGAAAGATCTTGGCTCCAAGCCTACGCATTTTTGGCAATTGATGGTCACTAAGGTAGCTGGAAACATCTGTCTCAGTCTAGTTAGCAGGAATGTTTATCTTTGTAAGTTGTAACATTAATGCTAATACAATTTTTAAAATTACTTGTTTTGGAAAATGTAACAGTCCAGGATGTCTCCCTTTGCGAACAGTAGAGGGAAAAAGAAGAAAAAAATGACAGGTGAAGATTCAGAGTTACCTGCTCCTTCCAAATCAAATTTAGACAAATCGAAGAAGTTCAAAAAGTGGTTATCATTGACTGATGCTGCAATGTTATCCAGGAAGAGAGCTTTGCTTCCTGTAAAGAAGCTTAGGAACTCTTTGATTTTAAATAGCAAATTGCATAGAACCTTGTACGGCTTTATCGTGTTTGAGGTCGCATGGAGTAGTGTGCGTGGCATCAACTATTTTAACGAGCTTCAGGTGGCTACTTGTTACGCTGTTCATTTTATGTTGCCCCTTGCACTCTACAACACAAATTCTGAGTTTTGAAATAACTTCATGACATCTGCAGACTGATACATCACTAGCAATAGAAGCTAAATTCATGAGCAGATGGGAATTCGATAGTATAGAGCAAGCTGTCCGATGCATGTCTTCATGGTTCCCTGGGACACACAATGAACAGACTCTCTTGAGAGATTATTTGGACGCTACAGCAGGTATTCTTTCTAACTTATGATTTAGTATTGATGGGACTCAAAGCACTCATTTTGTATGGTGTTTGTACCTGGATATTAGAGTCTGGATGATTCGGTTGACACTATATTTCGTCATGGATAAGTCTCTTGTGTCTATTTATGTGTAATCATAAATTTAGAGCTACTCTGCTTTTACTTGTTCATCCTCGGCGTACACAAGATTTTATGCATATGATATTATTGTTTCATTTTCTTTTCATAGTACGAAATGAAAGATTAAGTCAAGGCCTCCATGCATCTGTGAGCCGAAAATGAAATCAGTCCTAGTAACATTTGTGTGCACACCGTAGTGGAGGGGTATTGCTATAATTAGGTCCCAGGCATGTACAACCTCATGTTTATGGAAGCCAGAAACGAAATTTTATGATTGTACTGGTGATCACTGTTTCAAAGGCTTTGGGTATGTGGTGAGGACTCGTGCATGTTTGTCTGCAGGCTATTCATGTACCTTTGCCACCAGTGGATTTCTGGCATTTTCCTTTTTCTTTTTTGAATGAGGTCACCTGCATTTTGTGTTGTTATGTATGATGTCTAATTAAATGGAAGTGTCAATAAATTAGCAGCCGCATTTTTTGGAAGGCGAGGTACTCATGTATGATTGCGGATTCCATGGTAGCAGTAGTTCTAGCCCTACATTTTCCAAGGGCGTTCATTATAGACTCGGTATGCTTTCAAAATTAGAGATCTAGAAAGTATTTGGAATTCTGGAAAATATATGCATTGCCTTGTGATGGTCCTGGAACAATGGTGTAACGCTTTTAACTTTCGTACTCTATGCAAACTTTTAATTATGTTGGCTGAATTTGAGATGGTTACAGGGGAGATTTTCCATGATGCTCAAGATAATTTTCCGAGGTCTATCAATGTGGAGAATGATGACAGTGGTAGTGGTGATGATTCTCCTCTCTCCCCTAGTTATTGCACTGTATATTCAGAAAAAAAGGTGGAAAATAGAACAAGTGGACTGCATACACCACCTCCCCCTGAAGGCCCTTACAAGAGAAGGAAAGTTATGAAGTTTATTAATAGTGATGTTGACCTTGACATTTATTCTGAAGAAGTAGACTCTGAAAGTGTTCGAACGCCAATACATTCTTCGAACTCTTGTGCAAGTGATTGCAAGGACAAAGTTGAAGCTACCCAGTACAGGGATGTATTGATATTACTTCGATTCAATGATCGAGACCTTCCTTTTAAATTGAAGGAAATAATTGTGTCTGACTTGCGGTTACTCACTCTACTTGAATCTGGGCTTCCATCTTGGGTAATTTTCGTTCAATCTTATCCGCTATTTTGCCATCTGTATCGTCCATGGATGTGCCCTTTGGCAAGATTTTTATATGTGCTTATTTCAATTGTTACTGTCCTCATTGGATTCTATGATCTGTACAAAAACGTACCAGTTCTCAAGGCAACAGCTTCTAGTTTGTTCGGACCCCTTTTTGATTGGATAGAGACCTGGGAAATGATTTCGAGAATAAAATATTTGGGAACTATGCTGTTTCTACATAATTTTCAGAAGGCTGTTCAGTGGTTTCTTATGATGGCACGAACAACGCGGTCATTTCTTTCAATATTTCCACAGCCAATGGTAGAACCTCTTGTGGAATTATTGGACTTCTTCCTTCCTCTTTGGAGTATGTGTATACAACTTGCAGAGAGTTTCTTGTCTGTAATTTGGACTGTGGTGGAGTCTTCTTGCACAGTAACTGGAAAGCTTGTTGAGATTCTACTACTTCCAATGTGGTATATACTCTCATTATTTTGGAGTGTTGGTAAGTTTAAAGATCCATGTTATCAAATTTAAACTGCAATCTACGATTCATAAGAATATTAACACTGTATTTTATTTCCATATTGTGTTGGGTTGCAGCTACGTCCATCATATGGCCTATATTCTGGATTCTCTGTGAAATACTCTATGCGCCATTCCGTTTGGTCCTTGGATTGTGTGGCCTTGTGGCTTTCATATTCAGTTCCGCATATGAGCTGGTTGGATATATTTGGATGTTTGTGAGCGGTATCTTTCAGTTCACTTCAAATGTTGAGTCAACAGTGAGTTCATACGAGGTTTCAATGTGGCGTTCTCTTTGGCATGACCTTTTCTCCCAGGTTGGTAATAGTAAATTTTTATCTGCCAAATACGATATCATGTATGATTTTCATGCCAATGTTTTCTTTTGTATTAGGTTTTCCGTGCTCTCCGAAGCATTCTTAATGGTTTTGTGGCCTTCTTCACAGCCTGCAACAGGCACCGTCTAAGGTAGGATTCAGACCTCTGGTTTTCCTTGGTGATCTCAATTATCTTTGATTAACAATTATGTAATCTTTTCATGATGTGCCTCTATGCAAGCAAGAAAAAATAATTTCAACATCACGATATTGTAAATCAACTACATAACCTTCCACAAAATATGTCATGTTATTTTGTTGATTTGCCTTCACCTTTAATTGAATGCAATTTATGAAAACAGCCTTTACTCCTGGAAATGAAATAACATTTCAATCATAGATCTACTCTTTCCCCACCTTCCAAACCCCACGCTCACACGCGCGCGCACACGCATGTGCACTGATCTTTCTTCATTTCCTTATCTATGTAGATGTCTTTGACCATGCGGAACTGAATGTGATGATGTTCATCATTTGATTTGATGATTCTTTTAAACAGCTATAAATATATTTGACCCTTGTGAAACATTTTCTTCTTCTTCTTCTTCTCCTTCTCGTTCTCATTCATGCCCATAGTTAGAAAATGGTCCATTTCATCAGGCCTAAGAAATGTTGAAGATACAAATATAAGCAACTACTCCCTGCTCTGAGTGTCTGATTCCTCTGGGTGTCAAGAGTCTGTACATGTTAGATCATTGCTGCAGTGTTTGTGTCTAGAAGCTGCTTACAGAGACCATCAAATAAATAGTCCCCTTCTCTTTCGGTTTTGGATGAATGGGTAAAATAAATCCAATAAAAATATAATATTTGCTCTTTATAGCTTAAGCTTTGAGATGAGGTAGTCAGAAAAATCTAAATTGATTGGATAGTGATCGTAATGAATCATTAGACTCGGCCATCATTCATATGTGCCAAGTTTTGTGGACATTGCTAAGTGAGAAGTGATAAACTACTTGCATAATCGTTTTTGTCATTTTCTTTTCCTTTTCCTTTTTTTTGTCTAAACCCACTTAATTAATATGACAATTTCCTTTCTGACCTTTATTCAGTTATTGATTCCTGTCTTCTAGGTCATCATTGTTCTCTGAATGAACAAGTTGCTGCTTTCTCTGCTGTTCTCATCTGCTAATACAATTTCATAAAATGTAGTTTCATGTGAGTTATCAGTTATATTCCCCATATTTAAAGACCATTTAGGGGAAAAAAATGCATATTTATAAATCAGGGAGGGAAAGTTAATCATCGAGAAGTATACGCATACATCTTTAAATCAAGAAGTGTACACATTCATGATCCATCTATTCGTCTCTTGTTCAAATCAATAGAATCAGTTGTAGCTTAACTGAACTTTTTCACTTATGGCTTTGCAATCTTTAGTAGTCATGCGGATTCTTTAAGTTGCCATTTTCTTCTTCTTAATTGCAATCTGTTAGGTTTGTTGAAGAGGTCATGTGCTTTTTTTCTGAGGATCGAATTTTTTTATCCAATGCTCACAAAACGTTGAATTGCAGCATATATAATCATGTGAAGGAGTTTATCCGAAGATTATCATGCGCTGCCAAGAGAACACGGTCTCAAGAAAAAGGTCACGGGAGGAGGCCTGGAGCTCAAAAAATGGAGTAATTTTGTCAAAGACGGGATCTTTTACAGTGCAATTGTACCATCTGTATATAGGAGAGGAAGCTAAACAGAGACTAACCAGCAAAGAATTTTTGTAATTTAAATATAGATTATGAATGCTAGATTAGTCCTTAACATTATCCAGCGCTTAAATTAGCATGGAGGGGCTGCAGCAACGAGTAAATTTTATCCAGCGCGTTCTAGGCCTTACTATGTTACCTAGCTAGGGTCTTTTAGTGCACGTGCTTGGCTTCTCTGTTTGTAATATTCTTTATCTTGTACGAATAATCATCGATTTTCTTCTATGTAAAGTATCAATTCCCAAGCGCTAGTAGGATTTTTTGAAATTTGAAACTGTCGTTTACTTTAGTTGTAAACGACAATAAGCCCTTGTTTGAGCCCAATTATTCGAAAAATTCATTTTTTCAAAACTTATTTTCAACTACATATTCTTCAATAAAATAATATTATATACAAATTCAAAACTTTTCTTTAATTTTTAATCATACATTTTACATCAATCACTATTTAAAAATGCATTTTTTCACTTAAAATGGGGCTCAAGCAAGGGGTAAATTTTGTTGACCTCAAAAAATGCGTCAACAGAATTTCGACCTCGTCCCCTCCATGAAAAATATGACCTACACATTAAACACCCCGTTAGAAGACAAAGGCTGCCGGTCGAAAGAATAGGTTTGACTACCGTTTGCATTACGACGGTCAAATCAACAATCTGACAAAATATAACGAGTGCAGGAGACGGGGGAGGGTTTGGTTAGAGTTTTAGAACATATCTTGAAAATGAATGAAACTCACATATATATAGAAAATGGAAATGGGCCTCATGAGCTCATGGGCAGGACCAAGTTCCAAGTCTAATATGCAATTATTCAATTAAATAGCCCCGAGGCGAGGCTTCTTGATTTAATAGGCTGAATCAAATTAAATAGTCGATGTCATGTTGGCCAATGTGAAATTTCCTATGTCACGCGTATGCCATATAATTCAGGGATATAACAAGCTTTAACGGGTTCTACATAGTTACAGGAAGTTGAGTGCTATTACCGTTAAAGCTTGCTTGAAAGGACAGTGTCTCCAAAAAGTGTTCATAAATTCACTAGGTAGGTTTCAAAAGTGATGTATCGACTTTGTGAAATTAGTCTTCTATTGGAAGTAGTCCTCTTCTTGACTGAGTGTTAATTTAATTAACTCTGCACTTCAACGTTGTCGAGATGTCACATTTAATTTTCTTCGAACAAGCCGTAATTTTCATCAAGCAAGAGTAATACATTTCACTCTGGTGATAGGATAAAAGTTTGAATGATTAAGCAATTGATAACCACATTTTTTTTTCCACCGAGAAAGATACATTTGATATTAATTTTAGAGCTCAAATTTTGATTTTCCAATAATGAGAAGTTTTAGATGCTCGGTAGATTTTTTTTTTTAAATTTTTTTTAAGAAGAATTTGTACGATGCTATCTGTAATTATAATACAATTTTATCCATATTTAATTATATTAATTTCTTTTCTGTTTAAGTGTTTATTTATTTTTCCAAAAACAAATTGATAAAACAAAACTGAGTCTCATGCGTTAAATGCAATTTAATTTTATAAAATCAAGTACGTTTTTATTTTGCAATTTTATAAATTTGAGATTTAATAGATATTTTTATTTTTCATTTTAGAATATATATATATAATGAATTCATTGTCTTAGAATAATATTTGACAATATTATTTATTGTTATAAAAGTAAATGATAACAATAATATAAAATCACATGGTTAGAATCAATATCAATTTTAATAATTATATTGATGTTATAATGAATTACTTTTATTAATCGAACATTGAAGTGCTAATTTTGATACATAAAACAATTCCAAAACAAAGTTCGTCGAGTACTTATCCAGTTTATTCTTTCAACAAAATAAAGCTGATTGTTTTGAAAGCACAAAATACTAAACCAAGTCATAACATAAGATTAAAGTCCATTGAACGTAGATATAATTCAAGCAAAAGAGCACTCTCCGTTTCTTTTCATGCTAATCTCGTACTGTTATATATTTTTTTTTTCATAATAGATTTAAGTTTCTGGGGTTACTGTACTTAGGATTTATTTGAGCCCATTTTCTGGGCTTATTAGGAAGTGACCCATTTGAAAAAGGAACTCTATTCTGGGACTTTAATTTATTTTTCATTTTTTTGTGCAGTTATGGATAAAAAAGAAGTGATATAAGTTATTTCTCTCTTCATTTTTTTTTATTTTTTATTTTTCCATATTGTTCCTTTTCTCATGGTTATTAGATGACCGTTTGTACATGTTTTTGCTGTTCTGTAACATGGGTACAAGATATAGAGTATGTTTGTTTGGACTTGTTGTGTTCTTTGCCTTATCCTCCACTGTACTTTCTGCATCCAATGATGGGTTGTTACGAATTGGACTATAGAAGAGGAAATTTAAATCAGATTATCCGGTTTGGTGATAGCATCGAATCAAAGCAGAGTGTTTTGTAAGAAATTATAAACTTCGTGGTCATGTTGAAGATTCAGATATTGATATCATTTCTGACGTCGGGTAGGATAGTGATTATCCTATTGGCTGGTTGTAGCAGATGATTCGCAAGAAAAGAACGATAGAAAACGCCCAAAAAACAGAGAAAATACTCTGAATTCAACTCAATATTATTAATAATGCAGAATGCTGAAAACTAACCCACAAGCCGGGTTAAATAGTTGCAAAATACGAAATTATTGGAAAATTACCAAAAATGGCAAAATCCCGAAATTATACCATAATAAAATATTAAGTAAAAGAAGTAAGTTGCCAAAAATTTGGCTTAATTCGAGTTCTCTAACATATAAAAAAAAGGAAACTAAATATTACCATAAATAGTAAAAAAATAACTTAAAATCGAATTTTGAAAAGGAAAACAGTGGATTTTTGGCTTGAAATTGACGTCCACCGAGCAAAGCTGGGTGGCCACGACGTGCGCGCCGAAGAGAGTTTCCCGAATTAGGGTCATAATAGCGATTTCGATAACCGTAGCCAAAGTTATGACCAAATTACCAAAGACGTGTCAAAATCTCCCAATTAAGAAAATAATGGTGATTTACTTTCCATCTTTGCGCCGATCCGCCATCTCATGGTATCTCAGCGCCATCATCGTACAATCTGACAAATCAGCGTCACTTGACTTAGATCCTCCTGCATCAATTTCTCTAAAGAGCTATTTGTAAGCTCAATATTATGGTGAGATTGGTATTGGAACACCTCCCCAGAAATTTACTGTGATTTTTGATATTGGAAGTTCAAACCATTGGGCGCCGTAGTGCTATTTTTCTACATCAATTTCTCTAAAGAGCTATTTGTAAGCTCAATATTATGGTGAGATTGGTATTGGAACACCTCCCCAGAAATTTACTGTGATTTTTGATACTGGAAGTTCAAACCATTGGGCGCCGTAGTGCTATTTTTCTATAAGCCCTGGACACATTATTTGTCTCATTAAAATGAAAATTCTAAACGTTGTAAATATAGTTGGGTTGATACGAGAGATGAGAAGTCATCAAAAGCGGCTGGAGGTGACGATTAACTGTCAAAATTTTCATTCTTTTGTCCAATACCGTGCCCCAAATGAGGGCTAAGTTCTTTCCAAAGCCTTCTTGCTTCTACAATTAAAGGTCTCGTCTCCCCACCCGCAATTCCCCTCCCAGATTTTCTTTTCTGAATTCCATGGTTTTTCCAAAACTTATTTTTTGCTGATGGATGCAGGTTGCTTGTTTTTTCCATTCGAAGTACAAATCAAGCCATTCAAATACATACAAAAAGAATGGGACTCGATATAATTTCGTATTTCTTTCTTGCTCTTACTCCTAATATGCTGACTGTTCATGCGATACTAAATTGATCATTGATTGTTTATGACTCATTCATTTCAATAAAAATGGCAGTTTTTTCTCTTACAAGTTTTGGAAACCTTTATTACTCGTATGACCTACAAATCTTTTGCTTAGCTTAGTATCAACGTAGAAATTTCATTGTTAATATCAGGGAGTACCGCATATTTACAGATTCTATTTCTTTCTTGTTTAATGAATCCAAGTAATGGTTGCTGTCCTTGTGATTGACTGCTAATTTCTGATTTAGTAGTAGCTTTTAGTCACATAATACTTTCTAGTGTAATTTCACTGCTCCTTAGAGGCTTTCTGGATACGTGAAAGAAGTACTGAGGATAGAGAATAATTTCTAACAACTAATGATATGCACGAGCTCTCATTGCCTACTCAAATGTGGCCCCCCTAGTAAAGCATTGTCGTGGAGACTGTCTATGGAAGGTACATTTATGTCATCTTACTTGAACTAGTTTGAGACTTTTTCTGGATTTATAATCGGTACAGGAAAATCTGCTGCAATTCATTATTGAACTGGATCTATCTCTGGGTTTTTCAGCCAAGACTATGTTAAACATGTTGACCT